TAAAGTCGTGGTTGGATTGCACTTTTGGGGTACAATCGATACCAGTTGCCTTGCCCTAAGTGGTTTATCACGGACCGCAGATATCTTCTAACTTCGGCTTTACTCTTACTCATTATAGACGTAATATTCGCATTGCTGATCTCCCGATAAGGACCCTCAGCTAGGTGTTGCTTAACCTTCTGTAAATAATCACTCTTGTTCATAACAACAGTGGCCTTACCCTTATCTACCTTTGTAATTACTATGTTGTCAACCCGTTTTAGGGTGTTTAAAGCTCTTCGCTCTGCTGGTGTAATATTTGGAGCTCCTGGCTGCTGGGAGTTAAGGACTGTGGCTTGCTGTACCCGTAGCCTTTCTGCTTCCGTTGACGGAAGTTTTTGAAACACAGATTCAACACTAGGGATTATTTCTTCCGCCCTTATCACCCTTTTGCTCACTGCGAGATTCAAGCAATTCTCTCGCAGAGTGCGCTCTTCCTCACTTAACGGTCTAGTTGATAAATTTACCACGCTACAATAGCTAGTAGGTGGTTCAGACCTAGCCATGGGCTCCCTTGAAATCCGAGTCTTAGAAAGCAACTTTTCGAACTTACGTATTTCTCTCCCTTTGCAATGTTGTCCTTGGATAGCTTCCACTTCTGTCGCTTTGGTTTGGAGTAACTGGAAGTCTGCGGGAAAGAGCATGGTCTGAAGATCTTGGTTCAGCCGACATGAGTGGTGACGGATATCAGATAAACGCCGAGTAGTCAAGTAGATCCTCTGTTTGAGGAATGACTTGACCTCTGAGAATGCTATTCGGGCAGAAACGAGTGAGGTCTCCGGTGGCTTAACCAGCAACGACGTAGGGATTAAGTTGTATTTCAAGCTGCATTTACTGAATATGCAGTGGTTCTCCCAGTTTGCCTTTAGGCTTGCCTTTCTTTCACTGGTGAAACTCATTGTCCGATTATTCTGGTTGATTGTTTTTTTCATTAATAAAACACAATATATCGTGGGTTCTCCCAAGCATCACTAATAAACCATACATACATAGTCGATTGGGACGCATTTGGTTAATGGATCCTTTTGGCGTCGACCGTTATTGATTAATCAGCGAGGTTCCAGGTGGCCAGTCCATGGCTATTTCATTTTTTGCCTACATAATGCATTTTGAACAGAAATCGTATGGCTAATGTGCATCATTATGGAAGACACCTATACAACAGGAAATAGGAGCGATCCACGTGACCAGTCCATGGCTACTGCACTTTTTTGCCTTGCGTTTTGAACGGAAATCGTATGCCTAATGTGCATCACTATGAAAGACACCTATACAACAGGAAATAGGAGCGGTCATTTCTAGCAGTGGTAATTTTACTGACGATGAAAAGCCATCAAAACAGACGATGAGAAGGTGATGCAGCTGAAAGTCATTCAGGCTATCGATAAACTCAAAAGAGCTGTAAGTGCACAGCTGATTCCGTATCGACATCAGTAAATCAGCTGACCGATAGAACCTAAGTTCACCAGCCGACCCAGGAGACTGAAACATGCCATTTGGGAATACGAAAACTTGAGACCTAGTGGTACTCGCATGCCACACCTTCATAGTGTACCTTATCACTCAGCTGTCAACTGAAATATTTGTGGCGCGGGGGCTTTAATTGGTCGACCATCCAGCCGTCCAATGGTGACCTTTCCACGATTGATGGCGAAACGTCTACAAGCAAACTGCGAACAAATCGACAACCACGCGATCTATAACCAACTGATGTATCCACGCCACATACAGAAGTGATTCAGGATTTACGCCCTAACTGCAGGATGAGAGAACACCACAGTAGAAATTACCTTTATGCCTCTCTATTCTGTAATTTCCACCGTGTAAATATCATTCCTGAATAATGACCAGTTTTGGGTTCCCACCATTGTTTACAATGAAATAGGCCGAACAAGCTCTAAGCTATGATTATCTACATAATTATCTAAATGACGGGAAAGATTTCGAATAAAGGACATGGTCAAAAGCCCGTAAGCGACACAAATAGTCCTGGTGAAGCAATGTTCTAGGGACACTTTAATTCACAAATCACGCCTATCGGAGCTGAGGTAACTGAGGACAACTCCCATGTACCGGGAAGAGCTCTTCACATAGTTCAAACTTTAACTGATCCAAGATCTTAATGCGCCCTCTCCAAAGTGGGTAAGGAATAGCCTCCAGCATGTGAAGCAAAATATCTACTCATCTCATTCATCCATTCAGGCTGTTACTTGATGGTTGAGAGCACTGACATGTAACGATAACAGGAACAAGGCCGGAGAATCACTTTCTTGCCAGAGTTTCCTCACAAAGCACGCAGTTTAATTTAAAAGGGGACCGTAATCCTTTTAATCAATAAACTAAGAAGGTCCTTGGTATTTACGTAATAATAACTGAATCAACCGAAGTTTCCCTCAAAATACCTGTCACATCCGAGGAACGTTTTGATAAAAAACTACTATACTGCATTATTCGTAATTCCCGACGTTCGAAGTGTCGTGAGACCAATCACCCAAGTTTAAAGACTATGGCCTGTTCAGACGCGATATTTTAGTATGTGGCAGTAAAGTGGAAGTGGCACGGTGGTCTTGTATATCAGCTGTCCGGAATTTAAGCGCTGGCGCTGCCAAGGTTATGCACCCTAGTAAAAATACAACTTGAATTCACGGCTTTCCTTGTTTGGGTGAACTCAACAGAACAGGATAGGAAGGGAAGCTTTTAAAAGCAGAATACAACAGAAATGAACAGCCTTTCTTGATCGGTCTCTCACCTAAGAGAAGGCCAACCCAGTTTGGGCCAGCGACTGGAACTTAGTTGATCCCGGAGGGACACCTTTCTCCAGCGCCTGTCATTTCACCAGCAATACAACAGAATGACCAGCCTTTCTTGATCGGTCTCTCACCTAAGAGAAGGCCAATCCAGTTTGGGCCAGCGACGGCAACTTAGTCGATCCCGGAGGGACACCTTTCTGCAGCCCATGTCATTTCACCAGCAGTTGTAATGATACTTCGGCCTAGCAGACCGCTGCCTCTGAAGAAACTGCGGGATACATGGCGATATATCTCGTCTACCCCATGAGACAATAGTCAGCCGTTGATTTGTCTACCATCCAAAACCCAGAACCAACGGCTTCAGAATAGTTGACCATCACAGGTCACTTCGCTGAACTCAGCTACTCATTCACTTTTCTTGTGCGCAGTCGACAGCCTCGGAAACTATCGTTTGGCTACGCAATACCGATTAGACTGGGGAAGTCATTGACTCAGGACCTTTCTATAATTTAACGCTGACCTATTTTTCCCTGAATTTCTTCACGTACTCCATTTCCAAACCTGAGTTGTCAAATGCTGAACCTAAAAATGTTCGTTCTAAGCGGGAGGGTGGTGAAAACAGCGAAAACGTTAACGTTTCAGTTCTATCGTCCCAGTTCTATCTTCTCAAAGTTTTGACAGAATATATAAGAGGACCCATTGCTTAAAACTACTTTGTTCGTTTTATTCGCTGTCGTTAGAGATAGGATAAGATTGTTTCATGTAGCTTGTAAAATTGTCACTGCAGGAAATACTTAGTCTTGGTTTCGAATGAATTTGAATCAACTGTTATCAAAACTGAACTGAGAGACAGATGTGGGGTTTCTGTCTATTCATAGGTTCTATGAACCGCTCAGGAAAAGGAAAGATTATAAAGTTGAATTTAGACCAAAAACAAGTGTTTCGAATGTCCAGAACTGGCAACAGCCTAACCAGGAATGCGAAACCATGAGTAGGCATGAACATGCAATTGGTTAATGGTTGGAATTCGGAACCGCTGAAATAGCGGTTCAGTTGTATGCTATAACCAGCACCTCAAAGTTTACCGAATGCACCACAACTGTGGCATAAATTGACATCCACTTTTCAGGCGATCAGAAGACTGTGTTGGCTGAAACGCTGCTCATTTTCTGGATGCTACTGATGATTCAGTCAGTTTTGCGGTTCCTTTGTATGCTTGGTATTGACAGAATCCAGGAAAGTTGCGATGAGTGGGAATTTTCACAAATTTCTCGGCCAGAAATATTTAGTGATGGTTGTATTCTCAACACAGTCAACCCTAAACTTTGCCCGGATGAATAGTTGGACAGTCATTGGGTTTTATCCGAGTAAAACGTACACTCACAAGGGGATGCTTTACGTCACCCAAATTGGCCTTGACCGGACTGTGCACGTGCCCCGAAGTAGAGTCGTTTCCCTGGAGAGGAGTACCGTCGTTCGGAATACAATTCTCTCGCCAAAGAGGAATATCTGGTTTCTGGTACAGTTCTCTCTCTGTGAGAAGTATGTTAGCCTTTTAGGTTAACTTCAGTGCAACGGAAGTATTAGTCGTCGGTTCACTACTTCCAGTCTATCACGGCCAGCCCCTTTCATGCAATGGTAGTGATGTTCAACTTTTACGTATCACGTACATGTCCGGTTGACATTTCTACGTTACAGTTCTGCCCAGACTACAAATATTTGGACGCACGAGTTAGTAAGCTGATTGCACAACCAAGGGAATGAACAGATTGGGAAACTGTTCTGGATTCACCTGGAGGTAATACCAATGGAAGATGGAAAAACGACCAATATTGCGGAGGACTGATGAGACGATAGATGCCACAAAATTGCTACGGACTCAACCAGCTAGTCCGGTGTTATGGATGACTGTATACCGCATCCAACATTACCCAAGTTATGACTGGAACACAGTTTTGCAGCTGAAAGTTAAACGGTCTTTAAGCGTTCACGAAAGAATTTAGATTCACGAAAGGATATTTAGAAGCCTGGAGCTCTCACTGTGCACAAGAACTAGATGACTTAGTACTCCAAGTTTGGTATTCGTCCAATTCATACTCCCCACATGGCAGCCAATCAGGCTCCTGGCTTAATCAGATTTCTTTCAATGAATAATCAACCTTATTAAGAGGGTTAACCAGAAATCAGTTGACGGACGCCATTGCCATCAGAGTCAAATCTGTGTAAACATGAAACCACTGGGTTCGCTAGCATTTGCAGTTACACTATTGTGTCTCGCAAATGTAGCATTTGCGCAAATCACCGTGAGTGTCCGTGTATTTTTCAACATACCATGAATAAAGATAATCGTAGAGTGGACTATCGAAGTAAGAAGTTTGTCCACACGTTGTCCCAAATCGAAGTTGCATTTTTGAAATATTAGTTTTACGTTGTCAAATATATTATATAATATATATACAAGCAAGTTTACACGATGACATTGAGATGCCTGTATATATAACGAACGTTCTTGCTGTTGACAATGGTAAATTTGATGACGGTCACGCTGAAGATGGCGATGACAACTAGAGCGTTGGTGATGATAATGATGATGATTCGGATGATTCGGATGATGATGATGATGATGACCACCTCTGTGGTCGCGATGGTCAGGTGAATGGGACGAGATCTCTTCAGGCAGATGTGTAGATAGTGGCCAGCTCATGTCATATGGGATTACCTTATGTGGGCCATTCGATGGCGGCATGTAATCAACGATATATTGTTTCGATGATTCCATCAAACTTGTCTACTCGCTCTTGTCCTACAGATGCATTATTTCTTTCTATTCCTACACAGTTTGGCAGCTGGACAACCCATTATCGATATATGGTCCACT